ACTGTTCAATCAGAAAAACCCGCCCCTCAGGTACCTCCCCTCCCGGGCATGCGACAGATATTCTAATCTGAATCGCAGGATATGACAGAAATTATTAGGAAAAATCCATTTTTGCAGAGTTTTTATTGTACTATAACAAATTTTGTTATATAATTTGTTACTTAGAGGGATTATATATTTAAGATTATTTTATTTATAGATGTAGCAGAGGCTGCCGCTGCCCCACCTGTCTCCAAGGTTGCTATGGAAACAACAGAACATGAATTACCTTATGATAAGGTAAATGGGTTATACACAATCATATAATTTTAGCACATTGTTATCTGGCTAGTTTTTCATTTTAGAACATTTTGCTCATTTTGTCAAGCTTGTAGCTTATAGCACTGTTGCCAAATATTTTATTTTGTTTGATTTGTTTCATAGTGAAATTCATTACACAGTTTCCTTGCTAAGGGCAAGTTGTGAATTCCAAAGTCCTCTGTATATATTTTAGTTATAATATAAACTTAACTTTAAAAATTATAGATATTGAAACCTCGTATATTTAGATTTTAACAATATCATATATACAGAAGTGTTCGGAACATAGATTATACCATAAAATCATTAGCTATGCCATTTAACAGGAAAATATGGTGGCTAAATTTGTACCGGATTCTTCACCTGAGCTTGTTCACAGACAACCGGAAGCACCAAGGGAAAATGATGAGGTAACGGAAATTCTAGCAGTTAAATTTCGGAAGGTAATCTAGCAAGATGTCCTGTATAGAATTGCTGTGATAATATGTAACCCAACAACTAGCAAGCTCTGCATGATGTGTGATATATATTTATATAAGAAAATATTAGTGTGCCGTGAAATAGTGAGATGATATAATCATCACCATAATGTCTTCATCCATGACAACATGGCTCAAACTCTCCATATCCCAATCTTAATGTTTAACATAATTATATTATCATCTCTTCCAATTATTGGATGAACTCATTGTTAATTGTTGTGTTACAGCGATTGTGAGATACCAATCTCATTGTTCAGCGCTGTGTCACAGAGATTCTGATATATCTATCTCATTTTTTTCTGCTATGTCACAGAGATTGTGAGATAACTATCTCATTGTCCACTGCTGTGTCACAGATATTTTGTAGACAAAACTGTGAACTTTTTAGCTCACCTGAGCTTGCTCAGGGTGAGCTTTTAGGATCGGTGAATGTCCGTCGTCCGTCGTCCGTCGTCCGTCGTCCGTCCGGCCGTCCACAATTACTTGTGAACACTCTAGCGGTCGCATTTTTGCCTCAATCATCATCAAACTTGGTCAGGATGCTTATCTAGTTGAAAGCTCGGATGAGTTCGAACATGGGTCATCTCGGATGAAAAACTAGGTCACAAGAGCTAAAAATAGATAAACCTTGTGAACACTCTAGAGGTCACATTTTTGACCCAATCATCATCAAACTTGGTCAGGATGTTTGTCTAGGTGATAGCTTGGATGAGTTCGAACATGGGTCATCTCGGATGAAAAAGTAGGTCACAGGAGCTATAAATAGAAAAACCTTGTGAACACTCTAGTGGTCACATTTTTGAACCAATCATCATCAAACTTGGTCAGAATGCTTGTCTAGTCAATTGCTTGGATGAGTTTCGAACATGGGTCATCTCTGATGAAAAACTAGGTCACAGGAGCTAAAAATAGAAAAAACCTTGTGAACACTCTAGTGGTCACATTTTTGACCCAATCATCATCAAACTTTGTCAGGATGCTTGTTTAGATAATAGCTCGGATGAGTTCGAATATGGGTCATCTCGGATGAAAAACTAGGTCACCGGAGCTATAAATAGAAAAAACCTTGTGAACACTCTAGTGGTCACATTTTTGCATCAATCATCATCAAACTTGGTCAGGATGCTTTATCTAGTTGATAGCTTGGATGAGTTCGAACATGGGTCATCTCGGATGAAAAAGTAGGTCACCAGAGCTAAAAATAGAAAAACCTTGTTAACACTTTAGCGGTCACATTTTTGCATCAATCATCATCAAACTTGATCAAAGATGCTTGTCTAGGTGATAGCTCGGATGAGTTCGAACATGGGTCATCTCGGATGAAAAACTAGGTCACAGGAGCTAAAAATAGAAAAACCTTGTTTAACACTCTAGTGGTCACAATTTTGACTCAATTGTCATCAAACTTGGTCAGGAAACTTGTCTAGGTCATTTGCTGGGAATAAATCGAACATGGGACATTTCGGATGAAAAACTAGGTCACAGGAGCTAAAAATAGAAAAAATCTTGTTAACACTCTAGTGGCTACTGTTGTGATCCAAATATTCTGTTAATTGGTCTGAAAGTTTGTTTTGATGAAATTTCTAAGTCAAGATCGAACATGGGTCATCTTGGATGAAAAACTAGGTCACACCGCCCAAATATGGAAAAAACCTTGTTAACATTCTATTGGTCACATTTTCGACTCAATTTATCATCAAACTTGGTCAGGATGTTTGTCTAGGTAATTGCTTGGATGAGTTCGAAATCGCATGTGAAACTAGGTCACCGGAGCTAAAAATAGAAAAATCTTGTTAACACTCTAGTTGCTACTGTTTTGATCCAAGTATCCTGGAAATTGGTCTGAAAGTTTGTTTTGATGATTTCTAGGTCAAGTTTGAATATGTGTCACCTGGGTAAAAAACTAGGTCGCACTGCTCAAATATGGATAATCCTTGTTAACACTGTAGTGGTCACATTTTTGACTCACCTGTCATGAGACTTGGTCAGAATGCTTGTCTAGGTAATTGTTTGGATGAGTTTGATAATTCAGGTGAGCGATCTAGGGCCATCATGGCCCTCTTGTTTGTTTTCAGATCCATATGTAATTGTCTTCCAAGTCTTTTCCAAATTATATAAAATGACATTTAAGTTCCATTATTTAAAATTTTGCTTCTTCCATAATAGTTTAACATCTTTGTCACTAAATAAAACTGGATTTCATAACCTGATTATGCTCAACTAATCATCATTTATATTAAAACACTGTATCAAAATTTTTCTTATGTTTAACTTTATGAGAACATTTCTTTTTTTTCTAGATTTTTATGCTTATTTTGATAGTTTAAACTAGTGGTTGAAATTATATTTAATTCATTTTTATGTTCAAAATAAGTTTTATCAATTTTCTTTTTTTCAAAATTAACTTAGAAAATTGTTTCTTCATATCCTTTTAGAAAGTTCTTTATCTAAATATTAGTACTCATAGAAAATTTCGTCACTGATTTTTTTTTGTTCACAGAAATAAATCTTCATTGAACTATCCTTCACCAAAAATAATTCCCCTGCTCCCTATAGACAAATCTTGCACATGTTATACTGTGTTTTATTTATGCACACTTATTTTCTGAGTTGATAACTGTTTCTTCACAACTAGGAGGAGATCGATGAGGAAACTTTAGCTCTACGTGCTGCGTCCCCGCCTAAAGCCATCATTGATCAACGTACTCTAGAGGCTTATAAGGTAAATAATGCAAGAATTTCATCATGTTATATATTTCTACTCTCACGGAGTCACTCAAATTATTGCTAGAAGAAGTTACCTGTTATTATGCCAGTCTCATTAAAAAGGGAGAGTATTCTGATACTTTTAGTTATCCCGTTGAACAACGGAAGTTATTCCCCTTGAACATAGGAATATATTTTGAAAAAATCATTTTTTTTCTCACTAAACAAGATAACTTACCCTGTTAAGGAAGACCAAAAGGAAGATAAGATATTTTTCGTAAGCAAAAGGAATTGACCCTGTAAAAATTATTCATATGGAGCAAGAGAAATTTTCATGTTAATCTTAGTTACCGCCATTGGACAAGGTAGGTAACCCTTTGGAAATTTGTTATACACAAAAAATAAAAAGAGTTTTTTATAAACCTATTCAAATTTTACATGAGATTTTATCCTTTTAGAAATCAGTTATTTTCAGTAAACAAGGGAAGTTTATCTGTTCACCTTTGCTATTGTCATTGAACAAGGGAAGTTATCAAAACTTTTTTTTGTTTCCTTTGTATTGCTGGGAACTTTCATTGAACAAGGCAGGCTACTTTAGTTATTTGTATTGAGAGAAGTAACTCTTTCACTTGAGCAAGGGAGGTTATCCATATTATCTTAATTATTGCTATTGAACAAGGAAAGTAACTCTTTCACTTGAGCAAGGGAGGTTATTCATATTATCTTAGTTACTTCTATTGAACAAGGTCAGTAACTCACATGCGCAAGGGAAGTTTATCCATATTATCTTAGTTATTTCTATTGAACAAGTAAAATTATTGTTCTTTTCGAACAAGTCCGAAACAATTGAATGTTAATTGGTCATTCTTGCATAGCAGACTGGCGTTTCCGTGAGTTTTACACATGCCGGAAATTTCATCTGGCATGGGGGGTGCCAGATGAGTCGCGTGCGAAACAACAACGTCATTTTTAGCGCACTTTATGAATGAACCGCGTTAAAATGACGTCATTTTAGAAGGGGAAATATGTGCTTAGGATGACGTCATTTCGCCGTTGTTATTTTAAGTGTAAGTTCATACGCTATTGTAAGAAAATAGTTATGATGAAATGACTTTAATTTCCATGAACATATATCATATTGAGGTAAACCATTTTAAATATGAAATAATATGGCAGAATATGCAAGAAAAAATATCTTTCATATGTTTGCGGTTCGGATCGGAATATCGGGAACCCGCCCATGGGCGGTAACTCAGCAAGCCTCGTTACCGCCCAATGGGCGATCCCCTCGGGACGGATATTCCGGTCCGAACCGCAACATATGACAGATATTATTATTCTAAGTTATCATTATTCAAGATGAGATTAAACCATGATTAAATTATTTTAGTATTAATATGTTTTAGCATATATATTTATAGAATTATAGAATTATATTCCAGACATTACTATGGTAAATGGTATAGCCAGCCAACTTTATGAATATATGGATTTTATTTAATTTATATCTGTATATACAGCTTTACTGTTTGTATGGTCTGGAAAAAACAACAGCATAGTTCCAGATTCTGTTACATAAGCACTTTACAAATATTAAACATTTAATTTTCATTCCACAAAATTCTTCGTGAGCAAATTCTTCGTGAGCACTTGTTTATGTGTATAATACAAAGTGCCATATTTAAACTAAAGTCTAACATTTATTTTATGGTCAAGTTACTTAGAGCCTTTTAAAATATTATTTTTTTAGGGCCTGTAGTATACAGCCACATAACTTTACATTAAAGAGCCCGTTTTTTACAACTTATATTATTATTTCCAAGTTATCTCCCCTTATACATTTAAACAAATAGGCATGCTTAATGTTATTCAAGTAAATCAGATACATTTTCTAGTACAAATATTTTCTTTTACTAAATATTCTTTCTTTCAATAATCATCCTAAGTTATAGCAGTAACTTCATCATCCATTTTTACAAGTTTTTCTGTTGTCTTTTTTATAAATACACTAAGTAAAGTGACATTACGCTCACATTTTCACTGTCAAGATGAGTTGAATTAGTTATATATTTCAAGACGTTCACTATTATATTTGGTGACTGACTGATATTTTATCATTCATAAGGAAAAATGTTAAGGATAAAATATAAAAACTACCTTAATTATAAAAAGACTGTCCCACTCTTTTTCAAAATGAAATGTTACCGATACATTTCGAAAGCTATTTATAGATATTTCCGTGGGTCACATGGATTATTGATTATTTTTGCATAGTTAAAAGATAAAATTGAACATAATTATAGCAAAATGTAAAGTTATTTTGATTTCACTGTATCTGCATGGACATAATGTCACTTTGATAAGCTTAATATAACATAGTTGGTTACTTTATTGTTTTATTTCAAAATAAGTAGCAACTGTTCATAATTTTATATTATTTCATTATTTTTCTTATTATTATTTTGTATGAATATATTCAAATTAGAATAAATAGGCAATTATTGTTGTTTATTGCCATGATTATATTATTCAGATACTTGGATATTTTAAGTATCGTGAACTATCACCCACCATACTCAGGTCTTGTGTACCAGCAGATGAACTGTGATACAATGTACACAATAAACCACAGTGACCATGCTCATTAAAATCAGATCATTGTTTTCACTCCAAGACTCTACCTAGAGAAGGGTAGTGGAGGGAATCAAAGGGTAGTGGAGGGAATCAAAGGGTAGTGGAGGGAATCAAAGGGTAGTGGAGGGAATCAAAGGGTAGTGGAGGGAATCAAAGGGTAGTGGAGGGAATCAAAGGGTAGTGGAGGGAATCAAAGGGTAGTGGAGGGAATCAAAGGGTAGTGGAGGGAATCAAAGGGTAGTGTGGGGGGGGGGGAATAGTAGTAGGGTATCATTTAGGACATGATTTTAATGAGACTGCATAAAATGCTCATTTGTTCAGTAAACAATGGCAAGGAATGTTTTGTATATCCCTTCACTGGCTGAATTTATGTGTCAGATTTTCCCCTGATTTAAATTTGGAATAAACTTTTCAATGTTTTAAGGGATTTCAATATGAATATACAAGAAGGAGCCATCAGATGTATAGAGCCTGGTTAGACTACACGGTTGTGCAGACTGGCCTGGCTGTATACCGATGGTAAAGGCTGGTCAGTTTGGGTTCAAGCCTGTTTAATGTAGCAGTTAAATATACACCAGTGATTAACCCATAATTAATTTAATCATCATTATTATCAATTCATTTTCCAATGATTATCAATCATAGGCCAAAAGACCAAATGGTAATGTAACAAAGGATTGGTTGGTTTTGTTGCCATGGTAAACAAAATGCCAGCTTCACATTGTTGTTTTTCTTTACAAACACAGTTTTTCATGAGTTTTGTGCTTCCATTTTGACATGTGTTTTTTGCACTACCATTGCATGCAAACATATTCAAGCCCTACCATTATTCATACATTTTAACCACCATTGCAATATAATCTTAATATATTATATAACAGCGAGTAGACGATTGATGTTACTAACAAGGTGAGACGCTCATAGAAATTTTTAATTGAAGAATAACTACTGTCAGCATAAACTATATTTCAAAATTAAACTGATAAAGACCTTGCAGACGTAAGATAAAAAAAATTAATTTTGTTTTTAGAACATCTTATCACTATCTTCTAGCATATTATAAATATAAAATTATATATATTGTTTGTTGCATGTAAATCAAATATATATTTCAAAGAGTAACAGCAAGAATATTATCCGAGCATACCACAAGTGAAAATATAAGAGCTGGTGTTCATGAGTGAAATATAATTTTATCTTACATACAAAACAAACAAATTCTATTATTTCATGCTTTGGATGGTCTTAAGCATTTTACTGATTTTGCCGCCATAACGCATGCACTCTATCATATGTCATCAAATTTATGACGCACAATTCTGTTAAAAAAATATATCTGTAAACTTTAACGAATAACGTTACATTTTTAAGATGATACGTGCAAATCTTCATGTGCTTCTTGTAATGAAGCAAATTTTACTCACAACGGCGTGTATTTCTGACAATATTTCCACTTATTTAAGTTATTAAGTTCTTTTCATCTGAATTCAGATAATAGTCCGGCTACTGTGAAAATTATATTATATAATTTCACCATGAAGTTATAAGATATAATGTCAATGTCCACTGAAAAGCATGTAATAAAGTGTTTAATCAATATTTTGGTGGAGTGAAAACTGATTTAACTCTAAATCTGCAGTGGGGCAATAGATTGTATTAGAATAAACCATGCAGACCATGACAGCCGGTGATTATAAGTCCGTCTGATTGTTTCACTTCCCCTATTCATCCATACATATTTATGAACTTGAAAATGAGAATGTTTTGTCAACAAACCATTTAAGATATTGTTGGGAGGTAAAAATTCAACAATCATGTAAACTTCAAAGTTTTCTTTTATTTGGATATTTTATTCTACAAAATTAAATAAAGTCAGAGACTGTCATATGTACCATTCGAGAAACCTTTAAAAAAAGATCACATATAACAGAAGTCTCTAAAACATTTTATTGAAAAATTGAAATTTAAAATATATATATAATCGTCTAATGATGTGCTATATGATAATAGCGAATTAAACTTACGTTCATGAGAAATGATACAATAGTAAATATATTAATAAATAGTACTAGATGTTTGAAATATTAAGTTATTAATGCTTTTTTACTACTCAATGGGACCATATTGTTAGCAAAAACTGTTTCACATTTTACATTTCATCAGAATTATGATTATTTTTAAAATTTAAGTGAAACTTGATTAAAACATCAGATATAACCTGAAATAAGAACTAATGTAAAGTCTGGAAAATTACCATATAGTGAGTTAAGTCATGTTGATATTACCATACAGAACCAACCACTCAAGTCTCATGCCGTCAAATATTGCTAAGTTAAAGAAATTTCGTATGGCCAATCAACAGATTTTCACAAATTGAACAAGAACATTTTCCTACAATCTATTACCTTACAGCACCATCATCGTTTTTTTTCTAAAACACAAGTTTTAATGGATTGTAGTATTTTTGGCATGTATTTAAAAAGATAAGATTTCTTTCTCTATTTAATGCCATCTTTTTTACTTTACAATTCACCTTAACTTATGAAGTATAATCATAAAGAAATAAACATTTTCAAAAGTTATAACTACGAGTTAACTACAGTTTTTTCTTCAACTATTAAAATTGACCCGGACTACAATGTCATAACCTTTTACTCACCGAGCTGCTAAGGAGTTTTAGATCTTAATGTCCCCCTCTTCCACATTGTTTGAACACTCTAGTGTCACATGTTGCCTCAATCATCATCAAACTTTTACAGGATGCTGTCTAGTATTGGGCTCGATGAGGTTTAAACATGTCATCTCAAATGAAAAACTAGTCACAGACTAAAAAATATGTTAAAATCTTGCTAAACTCTCTAGACTCTATTGTTAGCCACAATCTGGAATTGGTCTGCAAGTGTTCTTTGATATTCTGTTCCAAGTTCGAATATGGTCACCTGATCAAATACTACACACCCCCAAATATGAAAATCATTGTAAACACTCTAGTGTTCATTGACTCAATTGTCCATCAAACTGGTCCAGGAGTTTGTTAAAGTAATTCTCTGATTATTTGATGTCAGTGTGAGCGATCAAGGGCCACCTTCCCTGTTGTCATTAAAGATTTACTGAATTCAAGAATATAATCAGTTCTCAATTTATGCTATTCAAAGAATCATAATCCTGATTTTAATGGCTAAATGAGTTACAACAACCATATAATTATCCTATTCTTAAATAATAAATGCAACAATTGTCTTACTAAAAATTAATGAAAGCTGTAACAAAAGCAATCTTATGTAACTTCAAATATATGACTTTATGAATAAAGAATTTCATTGCCCTTAGAGAAGAAATATAACCAATATAACAATTCCAGCACTTTATTATTGTAATACATGTGTACACTTAAAACATAAACATTATAAAGGGATAGGGAAGGCATGATATTTTTCAGCATGTTATGTATATAATATATTTTGACTAAATTATTTACCATTGTTGTGTTACCATGGTTACAAATGACTGTTTTTGTACATTTAGGAGTTGGAGGAGGAGAATGAGCATATCAATCAGGATTTGAAAAAATTAACAGCGGAACATAAACGTCTCCAGGAGTCATATGATTCCCTGAAAAAACAACTTTCTACACCAGCACCACCTCCTGTTGTAAGTTTTTATTTTAACCCTTTAACCCTAAACTTGTGTAATGGATTTGCCCTGCTTTGAATTTGGAACAGTCCATTTAAAGTTTAAAGGATTACAATATCTAAATACAAAATTTGTTTGTTAAATTTAAATTACATTACTATCTTCCTTTCTCACCAAAGAGTATTTAGGTTACAAAGAACATGAGACACATTTTGAGTGAGTGACCACTTAAACGTATTTCTTGCGTAATGTAAACAGTTCTGATAAGGTATTTCCTACCATATATAGCATATCATGAAATCTAAATTCACCATACAAAATTGCAAATTCAGGCTCCTTCCTTCTTCAACACTAACACTTTTTCCCAATCAGAATTGGGGTTTTTTTTGCCGTTTTGCTTAACATGAGGCTTACGTTCTCGCTGAGCCCACTTTCGTACATCTTTGTTACTGTTTGACAGATGTACTGGATGTAGGTCTTGTGTAATAACTCAGGTACAAAATTTCAATTCATTGGCTGCATAATAAATTTGATTGCACAAATTGGCCCAAAAATGAAAGGCGTTGCAACACTTTTCACTCTAATTGGCCACTAAAATGGCATAAAACTCGACTATCAATTAATATCAAGTATATTTGCATATTATGTACTGCACAGTTTACAAATATATGTATACCAATTGACTTATGAAAGAGTTTCAAATTTTATGATTTAAGGACCTCATTGGATTTTCTTTAAGAATAAAATTGTTCACTTAACATGCAGCACTATCTAACAATGAGATTGTGATATACAAATACTTAGGAAAAATGATAATGTTTTCGTTCTTTCTTTCATTTTCATTTTGTTCATTCTTTCATGAGATATACATATATTATATCTGACATGTATCGAAGAAAGTACAGAGATGAAAATAGTGTCAACCTAAATCACAGCTGACAGAGGAACAAGATAAAAATGTCCGACTTATAGATAAAATGAAGAAATTGAAGAAAAAATTTAAAGTTCCTGTGAGTATAGATTGTAGCTTTTATAATATACTTAAAAATGAAATATTGAGAAATATTGATGAAATAAAATGCATATTTTCATTATCTGTATTTTCACTGTAAAAATTTATTTTTCTCTGCAGTGAAACATATTTTCCATATTTTCGCTTGTATCTTGCTTGATAACTTTCTTTTTAATTCAGCCAATTCACAAATTGTGAAAGTAACCAAAACGAAGCAATTTGCACATTACAAATAGCTCTCACAACCCACATAAATTACCAAAATGAGGTCAAAATATAAAATACAGTCTAACTTGCCCATGCGACCACGTGTATTAAGCGACTTTTGTCTTAAACGACCACTTTAAATTCCCCCCGATCATTTTCTCTTTATATCTTTAATGTATTAAGCAACTTTTGCTCAACGCGACCAGCGACCGCTAATTAGTCACCTAATTGACATCAAACTTTTTCATTAAACGACCACTTTTACCTGTCAAGTAATTGTGGTGTTTTTAGAGAACGCCACCGTCGTTATGTCACAAGTGTCAGCAATCAAAACACAACAATAAACGTGTGAAAAACTCTATTTCCCATAACCATTTTAGCGTATGCAAATGAAGTTAAGTTATACGCGTGACGTGTATTATCCAATAATATCGGATAAACAATGCAACGCTCCGCCCATACTGAGATGGTGTATACGCTTCGCTTGTTGACATTTAGACTGCATTGAATTGACCTTGAACTTGATTAGACATTAAATTAATCGTAACAAATAGATGTAGTTTGTTTATTTCAAATGAAAAAATGCACAACAGAAAACATGCTTCACTAATAGGGTTTTCGTGTTGGAGACAAGAAAAACAACGGAGAAGATTAAAAAATTCTGGAAAAAATGTCAAACATGTACGTAATGGATCAAAACTGTTTTGTCAATAAATATCAGAACGTTATTTTTACATTTGCATCCGTTTAGAATTATCGGAGCGTACTTATTATTCAACATTTATATAAAAAAAAATGAAGTTGAAAAACAATCCCATCGAATAAAAAAGATGTCATTTATAAATTTTGACTTTTATATCATGCTGACTGTCTTAAGAGACCGTTTCATTAAGCGACCGTTTTTGGTGTTTCCCTTGCCCGGTCGCTTAATACACGTTTGACTGTAATAGCCTTTACTGCATTTGTAACACAGTAGAAATATGGTTATAAATACTGAAAAATAAGTCATTAATCGCACATAACATGTAAACTATTTCTTACATTTTGAATCATTTTACTTTTCCAAAACTCTTAGTCCGTTTTTCTCACGTTTGATTTTATGGAAATATTTTGGCTCATTTGGAGGCATACAGCTTTAAATATTGTTGTAAATTTATAAAGGTGTTTATACAATTGTAAAAAGCTCATGGCAGCTTATTCTGTATTGGTTATTAAGCCATGTTATGTCCCTCCTTCTCAAGGAAATGAGAGGTACCATTTATATTGCTTCATACGTCAGTTGGTCACTTGGTTTGGTCTGTCGTTGTGTGGGTCAGTCCTGATTCCCCTAAATTAAAACAATGAAATTCTGGAAGTTACGTATGTTTATACAGGAGGAACATGGTGAAGAATCCGGAGGAGGACAGCTGGAATTGATAGCGCGATTATGATGAACTTATCAAGGTATGAAAATATCTTACAGATTATAATATAATTTACTGCCATGTTTTTAACGTCACTTTTCATGAATAATCGTGGACGTTTATATAGTTTTATAAACATGACCCTGCTGTCGAATTTTTATGCAAAAATTTCATGTTTTTCTCTAAAAAAGGATGCAATTTGTTATAAAATTCCTGACAGGTTATATGACCGTATATAAATGGCTGTCAGTATTAACCACATCTGGTTGCTTGGTTTATATTTCCAAGACAACCACTTATATAGGGCCAGTAAACATGTCAAAAAAATCTTCATAACTAATATTATATTTTGTATGCGCTATATTGAGATGATCTCACCAAAGTTTATCAGGGGCCTATATGGCTGAGTGGTTAATTCATTTTCTATATAAATTCCTTGCCCTTGACCTTTGTCGTTTTAAATCCTGTCAGGATTTTTTGATTTATTTTAAATGAGGTAGCTATCCATCTAGCTTATAGAATGTTGGTGGTTATAACCCCATTCTTGACTGAAATATTGAGAGTCACATGAGGTCTTTTTTGCCCAAATAAGGCTGGAAATTTGTTTTATGACCTTAATATGACCTTTACAATGTTATAGTGACTTTAAACCCAACAAAATAAAACAGTTTACTAATTTTCTAAATCCCATTCTTAAAATCCTGTTATTTTATTATAAGAAATAGGTCCAAATGCTTTTATATATAATAACATAATGTCATTTTAACAACCTAATACCCCTATATGACAATTATGTTTGTGAAATTTGGGGTGATTTGTTACAATCCCAAGTCAAACATTTACTAAGCATAGGTATGACTGGGAATAATAGAAACATTTGTCAACATAATGTGTCTAAAAATAAAGATTTAATGCACTTATAAAGTTAATTATTTTCAGAATTTATGTGAGGTATTGATAGATGAATTACCTAAACCACAGATGAATGTTGTTGTTTTTGTTTCTTTCAGGTCATAAACAAACAGTTGTTATAGATCACAAGCCTCAAACATTGCTTCTTCTCCAGAACCAGGTGTCACAACTTCGCCAGGATAATAAACAATTACGAGAACGTTTACATGTAAGTTTAGTATACTAGATTATTTCTATGTTTCAACATGCACACCATAGCTACTGCACTCATTAATGATTTACCTCCCTTTATCTCTCTCATTATCATAGAATACACCGGTTATTATTTCTTCTCTAGGCAGTTTTATACTGTATCTTCTGATCTCCTTTCATTCTTTTATATTGACTTGTAAGTTTATAAAAAATCAATAGGCAAGTTATAATAACATATTGTTTATTGTCAGAAATTTTACATTCATGCTTTTTTGATTGAATTATAAAAGTTGAAAACTGTCAAGAACATCTGTACACAAGTGGAATTAGAATAATTGTCATACCTCTAAGTTTGTAATGCCTATAAATGTTTTAACATATTTCTTACCTTTATTGCATGCAGTCTTTAAACAGTGAGTGTTTTGCTGAAATAGGCATAGATTACCTTGTGTGAGTTTCTATCTTTACTGTGTTAGTTGGGATAAAGAATTATCTCCCCTTAGGACATAAGATCTTAATAGTCATGGTTTATGTTTGAGAACAGAGTATTAAAAATACATTATGTTCTTACAGACCCACATTTCACACCCGTATTTCACAGCTTTATCATGTTCCATACCATTGTATTACAACATTATTATGTTATCATACCAAGCAACTCATTATAAGATACGGTAGTTTACATACAACTTTCTTGATATCCTTCTCTTAAAGCTGCATGCCTCCAGATGAACCAAAAAATTTCAAGACAAATTATATGTGAACAAAATGTACTAAGAAAAATACAAAAACCTTCAAGATTTAAGTAATAATATACATGTTATGTGTGGTTAATGACTTGATTTTTCTGTATTGATTACCATCCCTACAGTGGGATGTTTGCAATGTGTTAATGACAGTCTTTGTTCACTTCACAATATTTTACTTTTATATGCATTTTAAAATTTTCATAGCATGAATTTGGAGGCATGTTGCTTCAAAAAAGGTACAAAGATTCATCATGAATGTCTTTATTTTGAAAAAGCTACAATGATTGATCATGAATGTCTTCATTTGGGAAAAGCAACAATGATTTATCATGAATGTCTTCATTTGGGAAAAGCTACAATGATTGATCATGAATGTCTTCATTTGGGAAAAGCTACACTGATTTATCGTGAATGTCCTTATTTGGTAAAAGCTACAATGATTTATCATGAATGTCTTAATTTGGGAAGAGCAACAATGATTTATCATGAATGTCTTCATATCTACAATGATTTATCATGAATGTCTTCATTTGGGAAAAGCTACACTGATTTATCATGAATGTCTTTATTTGGGAAAAGCTACAATGATTTATCATGAATGTCTTCATTTGGGAAAAGCTACATTGATGTATCATGAATGTCTTCATTTGGGAAAAGCTACATTAATTTATCATGAATGTCTTCATTTGGCAAAAGCTACAATGATTCATCATGAATGTCTTCATTTGGGAAAAGGTGCAATGATTTATCATGAATATCTTTATTTGGGAAAAGCTACACTGATTTATCAAGAATGTCTTCATTTGGGAAAAGCTACACTGATTTATCATGGATGTCTTTATTTAGGAAAGGGTACAAAATCCACCATGAATGTCTTCATTTGGGAAAGGGTACAAAATCCATCATGAATGTCTTCATTTGGGAAAAGCTACAATGATTTATCATGAATATCTTATTTAGGGAAGGGTACAAAATCCACCATGAGTGTCTTCATGTAAAATGGATATAAAGATATGTTATGAATGTCTTCATTAAAGATCCTGTATGTTTTGTGATTGATATTGTACCTGTGTGTATACCACTTTTCCAAGAAATTATATATGTATATATATAATTATGTAAATAAAGCAAGTTTCAAACATACAAGAATATGTAAAATATGTACTGCAAATATTTGTGCACATTATATGTAATCAATAAATTATATGCATTCATTTCTTTTTAAATACATTTCTAATTACCTCCCTTTATTTACATGAAATGGTAAATTCGGTAATATCTTCATAAATAATGCTTAATATTGGAACTTTACAATAATTGAATAAAAATCTAATGTGAGCATCAATTTATGAAATAGACCAATAAAAAAGTGTACAGGATCAAGCAAGCTGTTAATGAAGGAAGAATTTCTCTGACTCGTCAGAATGCCTTGGAGCCCGAGGGTTAAATGATGAGTTACGATTTTCTATTACGCCCCCGCCTGGGCCCCTGCATAGTGATGAATGGAGGGTTCATGATGCAACAAAAGGCTCATAATCAAAATGCTGGCCCTTTCATAGTTGACACTAAATAAAACCAGACCTTACCATTACCTTTTATTTACAATATCATTCATTAATGTCTCGAGTGCACAGACTTAATATCATAAATATCTACACTTAGGATTTCTCAGTTTTTATTTACAGTCAGGGATAATGTATTTGAAATTGTTTCAGAAAAATGGAACAACATTAACTAGTCTTTTGCGTGCGGAGAATATTTAAAGACCCATTTCTCTCTTGTCGCGAACATTGCTACCAAAGACCTGTTATGTTACCCGTAGTTTTATATTTTCTTTTCTTTTAACAACGTTGTTTATTTCCCACTATTTTCATATTTAGCCATAAAAACACCGGTAGATTAATTAGAGAAGCATTTTAATGTAATTATTGCCTATTTCTATAAGTTACAGTTTCTTATTTTTTTCTGCTTTAGTCTTAGAAATATGTATAAAACTCCATCATTATTTAGGAAATAAATATAAATTTTGTTATTATGATTGTTTAAACTAATTATTTGTAAAGAAAGATTTTAGAGAAAAAAGTGAAATGTTCAGTAAAATATATACTATTTGATTTACATACAGAACATAATACATATTATCATTTAATTCTGAAAAATTTTAATACCTACATATTATTGGGTAGCTGATATTCTTTGAAATATTGTGATTTTTCTTTACCATGTATTTTTTACATGTCTAAACATTCTATATAATCTTTATGCTGAGTAAAAACGCTTGTTGAAGTATTAATATATCTATCAATCTCTTTGTCTATGTAATAGTATGTTAATAAGAAAAATATCAAACAATTTTAAACAGTTTAAAGGTACATTATTCCTCTAAAATAAATAAATAAATATTTCATTCTGTAGAGAGGGGAATTCTATATTTTATGATATTGTAATAACTGATTAAAGAACCTGTGAGATGCTTATCACTTAAAGAAAATAGCGCTGAATGTGAAATATTTTATCAGCATACTAGTAAAATTAATGTAAACAAAGTCGTATTTTGACTTCCATACAGAATAGTTAATCATTATAAATATGTGGGGACGGAAAGGGTAGGGGTGGGGAGAGGATTGAAAAGGTAGGGGTGGGGAGGGGAGAGAAAGGGTAGGGTAGGGGATGGGAGATATTTTGATTTAAGTGATAGTTTTGTTTTTTGTTTCCTAACTCTGTTTTGCTAGATGACTTTGTAGTGAAATGTGTGAAGTCAGTTTTGAAGTTGTTTTTGTAAACTTTCCTCCAACAGTGTTCTCTTAATATTTTCCTTAGAATTTTTTTACGCCCTCAAACAAATCTAGTTTGTTTTATTTTGACATATGTCATTTTTAGCTAGTGTGTTTCGAAGAAAGAGTCGTAGGTATTATGATTGCTACAGTGTCAGCATGGTTGTCATGCAACAAGTTTTTTATAGTCCATTATTTAAAGATTTCAAAAACTATCAACATGAAATTTGGAATACTTGCTTATCATGACAAGGTGCAGTTGTTAGACAAGGGGCATAATTCTGAAAGCAATATTTTTGGAGTTATGCCCCTTTTTAACTTAGAATTTCCAACAGACAAGCATTAACACCACATGAGGTGCTTTTGTTTTTTTTATCAAACCTTTTCTTTATATACTTTATGCTAGAACATAGCTACCCTCAACTTAATAAAATTTGATCTTATGGTTAACTTGTTTCCAGTAGCAACTTCTTTTACAATAATTGTACTACATTTTTACGATCATGTACTTTGTTAGCAAATAGAATCTCTTTTGTTAAATACTTTTCTAAAATAACAAATTTCTAGTTTTAAAATTTTAAATAATTTTTTCTTATAAATTAATAATAATAGTTGGTTAAGTACCTGAGGTTAAGTCCTAGTAGTTGATCATTTCTATACTGTAGTGACTTTTTCTGTGCTGCTACTGATATTTAAGTATAATATCTTGTCTAATGTAATTTGTGAAAGAGATTTATTGTCTTACATTTAAGGGTGTTTAACTTATCATCTTTCCCACTGTTATTTTAGAAAAAGGAATAAAGCATACCCCCCCCCCCCCCCCCAAAAAAAAAAAAAAAAAAATCCCAAAAATCAACAGTAATTGATTAGAAACAATTTGATTGTATCAACATTTTGGTGACTTTCAAAAATGAATCTAAATAAAAAACTGTTTGCAAAATATTGTTAATTGATATACATGTACTTGAATTTACTACAATACCTTACATTTAACCATAAAATTCCTTATTATATTACCACAACTTGTTGAATAATACTGTAATCTATTATAATTATATAAAAAATATGATTTGTTATAAATCATCATAAGGATTCACCCAGTATAACTGGTAAGATACATAGATTTTTTTTTATTAAATCACAATTTTATTCACTATCAACTCATGCAATATGAATGTGTGAATGTTCACTATGGCAGAATTATATGTTGTTATATACATCATATCACATAACCAAGTTATTTATAACTTATATTAAACAGTAAGAATTCTCAATTTCCTGTCATGGGTGCAACATATTGTTTTAGACGATCTTTTGATGAACATGAGTGCTGAATGATTGAATGACAATAGACATATTGGCCAACAAAATTTTCAAGTTGAAACATATTCTACACTCAAAAGTACACTCAGTCTCAAAATTACACTCATACTCAAAAGTACACTCTGTCTCAAAATTACACTCATACTCAAAAGTATACTCAGTCTCAAAATTACACTCATACTCAAAAGTACACTCAGTCCTAAAATTACACTCGGATTCACAATTACACTCGGATTCAAAATTACACTCAGACTCATAAGTACACTCAAACTCAAAAGTAAACTTACAGGATCAAAACTACACTCACACTCAAAAGTACTCTCAAACTCAGACACAAAGGTACACTCAGATGTAAGAGTACACTCAGACACAAGAGTACACTCAGACACAAGAGTACACTCAGACACAAAAATACACTCAGACTCAAAAGTACATTCAGACACAAAAGTACACTCAGACTCAAAAATACACTCAGACTCAAAAGTACACTCAGACTAAAAAGTACACTCAGACACAAGAGTACACTCAGTACAAGAGTACACTCTCAGACTCAAACTCTTGCAATTGAGGCTTATAAACTTTTAACAGGGTTGATCTTATGCCCTCACTTAGGTTGGGAGGCATATAGATTTGCCCTTTTCCCTCCATCCTACTCTTTGTCCATCTGTCTGAAGACTGACAAAACACTGGATATGTGCGGACATCCATGTCCCATGGAGACATTTCTTGTTAAAGAATAAACCATTCCTGAATGTGTTTTTATGATTGAATTTTTACCCCAGATTTTCATATTTTGTTTTATAAAAGCTTGTAAATTTTGTCCATAAATATAATTATCTTAGTTCAGATCTTTTTTCTCCCCAATTTCTTATCTGACTGGGTTATGTTCAAGTTTGACAGTTTGTTGATATTGTTTTTTAAGTTGTGTGCATGCATTTTCTGAAAGATGTTAGACTGCATTTGATATTTGTAGATTGGATATGTGATTTTTTTGTGTGCATATAATGTAACATATATGTGCATGTTTAAATATCACCTATTTGATAGTCTGTATAATTATCACCAACAAACAAACAGCATATTGGGAATATTAGTAAATTTTAAGGTTTTCTGCAGTATTAAAGTTAGTTTGAACAGTATTAATCGGGTAAATCCCTCCCCCTCAGTCTATTAACCAGCAGCAGTCCCTCTCACTCAGCCCTCCCCCCCCCCTCTGTCTATCAGCCATCAATCTTTATATAATACATAAAAGTCACATGGTATGAACATGAATATAACTGAGGAATAACTTTACAAACATTAGAATATGCAAATAAATGCCCAAGAATTTGTCTTGTTATAAATAGTAACTACACAACATCAATACAATTTGTTGTATATTGGGGGATATCAGTAATACTTACCAAAAAAATCAACAGAAAGAAAAAACAAAGTTTCAATAATAATAGGCTATCATTGACAAAAGAAGGGGAATCATATATCAGTATAACACTTATTTGTAGCATTTACCTCCCTGTAATAATTTAAAACTATATTGGGGAATATCAGTAATGCTTACCACCAATAAAATCAACAAAAAGAAAAAAAAACTTAAGTTTCAATGAATGACAAAAGAAGAGGAATAACTCTTGTAACTTTGCATACCAAATATTTGTATCGTTTCTCTCCCTTTAATAATTTGAAACTATTCAATTGTTGCAGGAAAAGACGGGCAGTATTTCGTCTCTCGCATCACTGGATGATACTTCGGAATTAGATCGCCTGCGTCGCAAACTTGAAGAAATTGAGACAGATCGACAGAGATTACAAAATCAGGTAGACAAAATATAGACAGAATAAAGATTGTCAATCTTGTAATAAAGACCACTCTTGGATAAAGTTCAAATATCAAGGACCTTTCAGTAAAAGGCCATAATTTTATTTTAATATTTCAGTAATTTTAAGCCACTGTCATCCATCTTTGGAGGTCATTTAGTTATTAAAGGTCACCATTCTTTATCTATGATACAGTTATTAGTTTAGAGTACATTGTCATAATTATAATATGTTAGATTTGTTGTATGTTTCTTGTAGAGAAATTGGTTATTACTGGTTAGTTATCCAGGAAAGCTGTTTAGGTGGACTGAGGACAAAACATGTAAAATTTTGGTGGCTACGTGGTTCAGTGGTCAATGCGTAAGACTAGTAATCTAAGGAGTGAAGTTGATTAAACAAGCAATCTGGTTTGAAACTCCAGAGACAAACAGCTTAATAGTTTAGGAATGTTGGTGGTTCTACTCAGGGAACTTATGCTAAAAGAGGCACCTGATGTCTAACTCTATCTCTAGAGCCGGAAAGTTGACATATAACTTTATAATCCCCTTCTGCAAAGCAGGGAGGGATAATAGGTATGGCCTCAGTCTGTGCGCCCGCCAGTGCGTCTAGCAATAACACTTACGTTTCTGCTCCATAACATTTTATAGTGCTGAAAATTTTTTGAAATAACTTGGCACAAGTGATCACCATTATTAGATGATGTTTGGTTAGTTCTACATTTTGTGTCCGCTCCATAGCATTAAACGGCTGCAATGTTTTTAAGATAACTTGGCAGAAATGATATAGCATGGCACAATATCAAGGTCATGTTTGGTTAAAGGTCAAGAAGGACACATTCATGTCCACTGCGGAAAGGGATTTGGTTATCCTTCAGGTTGCCTTGTACAATTTTATTTGACCTTAAAAACCAAACATAACAAAAGCAAAAAAACTATTCTACCTGTCAGAGAGATTTTATATTGTATACTGTGCTGTAAAACATAATTTCATTTTGTACACATAACATTAAACTGTAATTTGCTTGTTCATTATCACAACTTTATCTCAGATTCAGGAGAGCAATGTGTTCCCAGAGGAGCAGATACAGAACATTCGTGTGTTAGAGGAAGAAAATACGCAATTGCATATACAAGTTAAACAATTAAAGTCTGAAATAAACAATATTAAATCTAATCAAGATGTGCAAAATACTGTAACTTTGACTACTGGTAATAATGTAGATAAAACTAAAACAGAATTAGAATCTGAAAGTGCAATTACACCTGAGAAAAGTGAAAGTTTGGAACAACTACCTGCAAATGTTGCAATGCAAGAAGTTGATGATATTAAAAAAGAAAACACTGCTCTTCAGTCGGAGAACTCTTTGTTGACTGAAGAACTTGAGGCTCTTAGGGACACATATAACAAACTTGTTATTGCAGGTGACAACTTGCAAGAAATGTATGATCAGTTAGTGCTGGAGAAAGAACAAATGCACGAAGAGATGGAAAACATTGTGACAGGGAAACAAGAACTTGCAAAAGAGAATGAGTATCTATTAGCTGATGGTAATGCAATGCATGATGATATTGAGAGATTAGTTCACGAGGTGGAAAAGTTACATGATCAGAATCGAAGCACTCTTAAAGAGAAAGAAGATCTTGAGAGACGCTTTAGTGCACTTAATCAGAGTAATAAAGCTAGTGATTTCACTAGAGTTGTAGAGGAGAGGGATAAGCTAAGAGTTAAGGTTGACGAATTGGAAAAATTCTGTGAAGAACTTAAACAAAATCATGACATTGTCATAGAAGAAATACAGAGTGTTCAGACCACTTGCCAGAGAGCTGAGTATGAAAGGGACCAATTACAACAAGAATTTGATTCATTACAGGATGAGTTTGAAAATGTTCAAGGTTCTCAGGAAGGGTTACAGCAAGATTATAACCAGTTAGAACAGGATTATTCCGACCTGCTAGCGGATAAAGAGAAACTAGAACAAGAGTTTCTAGATGTACAGACTGCCAGTGTTAATGTAGAGAATCATGACCCAGCTGTTGTTCAGGAGAAAGAAAAACTTCAACAGGAAAATGAAGTACTAATGATGGAAAAGGAACAGTTAGAGATGACAATGAATGAGTTATCCAAGTCAAATGCTCTAATACAAGAAGAACTTGCAAGTTTACGTTCAGCATTAGAATTAAACGAGAAAAAAGAGGAGAAAGATTCAAATAAACAAGATAGTGGTGTTAATACAGAAACAATAACAACAGTAAATAACAAGGAAGGAATGGATAAAGCTACAATAGATGTTGTTGTTGAAAAAGATCGAAGAATACGTTCGCTTCAGATACAGATTTCACGTCTACAGCAACAACTTGCCGTAAGTTTCTAGCTGCATTTTTGGTGTCACATTAAAGTTGTTGTTTTGTAATGTAAATGTCCGTAAGTGTGTATATATAATATAAATGACTACAAAGGGAAAGTGCAATGATTATTGTAATATCATGTGAAATTATTATTAGTTTCTTAGTTAGTATTTTGCAGAGTGATTGTTTACAAGATATAAAGATGAAGTGTCTTTTTAAGGTATTTTTGTCACCTAGAAATGATCGTTGATGTGTATGGGTGCACAGTCCTGTGGGTATAAGGTTTATTCATAGGAATATAGTGAAGATTCATGTTCCCACCTTGACCTTTGTTTTTATTGGTAGATTGTTGCACCAAACTAAGTTTGTTCACATGACACCAGAAGAAAATTATTAAATAGTAGCAGTTAATGTTTTTAACTGATTGAATGATGAGTTAGCAGAAACCTCGTCATTTGTCTTTATAATAAGCATATCATTGCATACATGTATTAAATTTTGAAAACTGTTATTTGAGCTCCATGGCTGAGTTACGTTCACTTTGCTAAATACACTTGAGCTCCATGGCTGAGTTACGTTCATATTGCTAAATACACTTTAGCTCCATGGCAGAGTTATGCTCATTTCGCTAAATACACTTGAGCTCCATGGCTGAGTTATGCTCATCTTGTTGAATATACTTCAGCTTCATGGCTGTGTTATACTCATTTTGCTAAATACACTTGAGCTCCATGACTGAGTTATGCTCATTTTGCTAAATACACTTGAGCTCCATGGCCGAGTTCTGCTCATTTTGCTAAATACACTTGAGCTCCATGGCTGAGTTATGCTTATTTTGCTAAGGATATTGTAAACCCATGTTTGAGTGTTTCAGGGATATTTAGTAATTGGGGCATTTTACATGATGTATGATAATTAATTTGTACTATATAACATTGCACTTTCCCTGTAGTTACTCACATAGTATCCTGCATATTTCTGTGTAAGGACAATCATTGTTTGACTGTTTCCACCTGTTTTTTACAAAGGGCCAAATTAAGATCAAATGATGCAATATTGTGATACAAAGACACAAAAATGCAACATGAGATGGCAGTATTAATATTGCTGTTTGGCACTGTACTTTTGTTGTTCTTCTTGTGTGTATACTCCATTGCCAGTTTAAGAGCAGAAAACCTAATTAAAAAACATGATGCAAGAAAATTTGATAAATGTCTAAATGTCTCAAACTTTATCAAGTTTGAGTTTTCACATTTTCTCATTTGTTTTTGCCTTTTATTCAATAGTACAGTGTTAATCTGGCATCTTATTTTAAGCTTGACTATTCAATGAATAGGGAGAGCTATTGCACTAATCCAGGAGTCAGCATCACATTTTGGTTAAGATTTTTCTTGCAAGTTGATATGAAACTTATTTGATAGTGAATAAGGAGGTCATTGCCCAAGCCCTATAACTCTGAAAACATGGATTTTGACAGAATTATGGCCCTTTTTAAACATACAAAATTCTGCTTCATACAGGCTCTTAAACGTTTGAGCAGGCCGATATGCTGTCCTACTAACAGCCTTGTTCTGACATAAAATTGAGTTTTTTTTACATTTTCATTTTGTCTTATTAAATATTTTCCCTTCTAAAAGAGTTAGTACCAAATGCAAGACATAGATAATACTAATATTGATAGAATGATGGTGTTTAGTTGAGTTTTATATAAGTTTAGGAAACTAAATCTTTTAGAATAATGAGGAATTGCTTTATTATTTAGATAAGCCATGTAAGTTAGAATTCAACATAGAATTTAGTCTCTATACTCCTTTAAAGCTGCACACCTCCAGATGAGCCAAAATATTTCAAGAAATTTAATCTTTATAAAATATATTAAGATCTTAAGAAAAGTAAAAAGATTCAATATTAATCAATTATTTACATGTTATGTGCGATTGATTGCTTATTTTGCCGTATCAATCGCTATTATTCTGCTGCGTTAATACTAATGCAGTAAGAGGTATTTATGTATATTTTGACCTCTTTTTGGTAATTTACATGGATTGTTAGTGCCGTTTGCAATGTGTAAATCACTTTCTTTGTTCACTTAACAATATTTTACTTTTGAATACATTTGTTAAAATTTTCATGCAAATTAGCATGAATCTGGAGGCGTGCTGCTTTAATTAGGTGGATTGTGTTTACTATACATTTTTTTTAGTTTTTTGAATTTTCATGTTACTCACATTATCAGATTAATTAATGTTTATAGAATGAAAATTTTCATGTCAATGTATATAACCATTATTCATTAATTATAAAATTAGTGAAGTGATAAGATTTATATTCTTTTAACTAATTATAATTTTATTTGTAAAAATTTAAAAATTCAAACAGTCATCTTAGTGCAGTAACGGGGTAAGTCCTGCTAAATTTAAAAGGAGTTAGCCAGTTATTGCATTAAGGTGACGAAACAGTCATTGTTATCGTGGTAACACAACAACAAAATTGTTGCACACTTTTTTAGTGATAAGCATGAAAATTAATTTAAATTCATTATTAAAGAATTGTGTCTGAACACATTCAGAAAAAAAATCTGATTAATTTCCGTGGTTAAATTTGCCTTGAGTACATAAGCTTAAATAACTTACTAAATAGTGATACTTTTCTGTCATAAAATTATTATGTATTTTTATGTACATGTATTCATTTACACATGCATATGCATTATATTATGCAATATTTATGCTAAATATAAACCACAAGTCATAGAACTTGGTAATGAACGTGCAATAAACTATTTGATATTGAATATATTTTGTGCATTACAGGAATCAGATGGTCACTACCGTGGTGTTATCAGTACATATAGGACTCATTTACTTAGTGCTGTACAGGTAATATATAATTAAATTTATATTGTTACCAGGTATATAATTATATTTATATTGTTTCCAGATATATATATAATTATATTTATATTGTTACGGGATATATAATAAAATTTATATTGTTACCAGGTATATAATTATATTTATATTGTTACGAGATATATAATTATATTTATATTGTTACGGGATATATAATAAAATTTATATTGTTACCAGATATATAATTAAATATATATTGTTATGAGATATATAATTAAATTTATATTGTTACCAGATATATAATTAAATTTATATTGTTACCAGATATATAATAAAATTTATATTGTTGCGGGATATATAATTAAATTTATATTGTTACCAGGTATATAATTAAATTTATATTGTTACGGGATATATAATAAAATTTATATTGTTACCAGGTATATAATTATATTTATATTGTTACCAGGTATATAATTATATTTATATTGTTACGGGATATATAATAAAATTTATATTGTTACCAGGTATATAATTATATTTATATTGTTACCAGGTATATAATTAAATTTATATTGTTATGAGATATATAATTAAATTTATTTTGTTACGAGATATATGATTAAATTTATATTGTTACGGGATATATAATTAAATTTATATTGTTACCAGGTATATAATTATATTTATATTGTTACAAGATATATAATAAAATTTATGTTGTTACCAGATATATAATTAAATTTATATTGTTACCAGGTATATAATTATATTTATATTGTTACGAGATATATAATTAAATTTATATTGTTACGAGATATATAATAAAATTTGTATTGTTACGAGATATATAATTAAATTTATTTTGTTACGAGATATATAATTAAATTTATATTGTTATGAGATATATAATTAAATTTATTTTGTTACGAGATATATAATTAAATTTATATTGTTACGGGATATATAATTAAATTTATATTGTTACCAGGTATATAATTATATTTATATTGTTACAAGATATATAATAAAATTTATATTGTTACCAGATATATAATTAAATTTATATTGTTACGGGATATATAATTAAATTTATATTGTTACCAGGTATATAATTATATTTATATTGTTACCAGATATATAATTAAATTTATATTGTTACCAGATATATAATTAAATTTATATTGTTACCAGGTATATAATTATATTTATATTGTTACGGGATATATAATAAAATTAATATTGTTACCAGGTATATAATTATATTTATATTGTTACGAGATATATAATTAAATTTATATTGTTACGAGATATATAATAAAATTTGTATTGTTACGAGATATATAATAAAATTTATATTGTTACGAGATATATAATAAAATTTGTATTGTTACGAGATATATAATAAAATTTATATTGTTACCAGGTATATAATTAGATTACCTGAAATATAATTAAATTTATATTAAAACCAGAGATATATGATTTAATTTATATTGTTACTAGATATACTTGTATAATTAAATTTAAATAACTGAATTATAGAAACATAAAATTATGATTTGAATTAAAAGAACGTAACACCTCCCCCCTCCTTCCCACCCCACCCCAAGCATTTAAGAGATATTATTTCACATATAAATAACATTTCATATTGTTTTGTATATTTTAACAGGGTCACATGGATCCAGATGTGAAACAAGCTTTATATAACATCATTGAGCTGAGAAGTATGGAACAGTTTTGTTAGAACTTCTCAAACTACATCATACATTCCAGCACTCCATTAGCAGACAAAGTGATCAAAAAATAATTCATTCCAATCAAAACTGCCAGTTTGAATTTGACTAATGTTAACTTAAAAAGAACAGAAAAAAGTGACTTTTTAGGGAGAGATTAAACTGAACATGGGTTTACACCTTATATGACAGATTCCTTATAGAAATTTTCTTTAGAATCATGCATTTTTCGGAAGATTTAAACTTGTACTACCTTTTTACTTTACCAAAACTTCCCAGAATCAAAGGGCTAAAGTTTCTTCCCAATGAAGGATTAGAATCAAATCAGGTAAAAACTCAGTATTTTAAAATGTTGAATAGCTCCGAGATGAACAAATTAGGAAAGAAAATAGAAAGAGCATGGAAAAATTTTATTAATCAATAGCAACTTCTTTTGTCTTAACATCTTGAAGATTGTTTATGTTGTTTCTATGTTAAATGTGCCATTTATATTCAGATATATTTTTACAATTTTTTTGTACAATTTCATATTTTATTTTTTATGATATATTGTATAGACAAAAGCATTACTGATACATGTATAATCATTTTGATGGGGGATAAACCATCAGACATTTTCATAAGCTTATATTTTCACAGAAGAAGCATGTAACCTTGTTCCAGTGTTACAATAGAGATAATGGTCTTGCTCCAGTGTTTACAATTTAGATAATGGTCTTGCTCCAGTGTTTACAATTTAGATAATAGTCTTGCTCCAGTGTTTGCAATAGAGAAAATGGTCTTGCTCCAGTGTTTACAATTTAGATAATGGTCTTGCTCCAGTGTTTACAATAGAGATAATGGTCTTGCACTAGTGTTTACAATAGAGATTATGGTCTTATTCCAGTGTTACAATATAGATAATGGTCTTGCTCCAGTGTTTACAATTGAGATAATGTTCTTGCTCCAGTGTTTACAAAAGGGATAAATGTCTTGCACTAGTGTTTACAATCAAGATAATTATCTTTACATTTTATTGTTGTTTTTTTTGAAGACAAATGTCTTACACCAGTGTTAACATTAAGAGATAGATATTTTGCTCTAGTGCTTACATTGGACACACTGGATAAAGTCTTTTTGCTCTTGTACTTTATTGGATAAGTCATGTTGTTAAGAGTGTTTTCTTTTTTATACATAAGAGGCAGTTGGACTTAGACAGTAGAGCTATTTGCCATGTTTCAGTGTTTTCATTTTTATACATCAGTATGATATGTAATTTTCCAATGTTTACATGTCTTACACTAAAGATTGACTTATTCTAGTGTTAATAATATAGACATATATCTTTTTCTAGTGTTAACTTGGTTACACTAGAAGTATATGTCTTATTCTTGTGTTTCATTAAAGATCGATGTCTTGTTCTAGTGTTTACATTAGAGATAAATGTCTTGTTCTAGTGTTGACATGTTAACATTAGAGATAAATGTCTTTTTCTAGTGTTTAAATTAGAGATAAATGTCTTTTTCTAGTGTTGACATGTTTACATTAGAGATAAATGTCTTGTTCTAGTGTTTAAATTAGAGATAAATGTCTTGTTCTAGTGTTGACATGTTTACATTAGAAATAAATTTCTTGTTCTAGTGTTGACATGACTGTTTACATTAGAGATAAAGGACTTGTTCTAGTGTTGACATGTTTACATTAGAGATAAATGTCTCGTTCTAGTGTTTAAATTAGAGATAAATGTCTTGTTCTAGTGTTGACATGTTTACATGAGAGACTAATGTCTTGTTCTAGTGTTTACATGAGAGATAAATGTTTCGTTCTAGTGTTGACATGTTTACATTACAGATAAATGTCTTGTTCTAGTGTTGACATGTTTACATTAGAGATAAATGTCTTGTTCTAGTGTTGACATGTTTACATGAGAGACAAATGTCTTGTTCTAGTGTTGACATGACTGTTTACATTAGAGATAAAGGACTTGTTCTAGTGTTGACATGTTTACATGAGAGAGATATGTCTTGTTCTAGTGTTGACATGTTTACATGAGAGATAAATGTCTTGTTCTAGTGTTGACATGACTGTTTACATTAGAGATAAATGACTTGTTCTAGTGTTGACATGTTTACATTAGAGATAAATGTCTTGTTCTAGTGTTGACATGTTTACATTAGAGATAAATGTCTTGTTCTAGTGTTTACATTAGAGATAAATGTCTTGTTCTAGTGTTGACATTAGAGATTAATGTCATGTTCTAGTGTTGACATTAGTAATAAATGCCTTGTTCTAGTGTTTACATGTTTACATGAGAGACAAATGTCTTGTTCTAGTTCTGACATGTTTACATTAGAGATAAATGACTTGTTCTAGTGTTTACATGAGAGATAAATGTCTTGTTCTAGTGTTTACATGTTTACATTAGAGATAAATATCTTGTTCTAGTGTTGACATGGTCACATTAGAGATAAATGTCTTGTTCTATTTTGACATGTTTACATTAGAGATAAATGTCTTGTTCTAGTGTTTACATTAGAGATAAATGTCTTGTTCTAATGTTTACACTAGAGATAAATGTCTTGTTCTAATGTTTACATTAGAAATAAATGTCTTGTTCTAGTGTTTACATTAGAAATAAATGTCTTGTTCTAGTGTTTACACTAGGGACTGATGTCTTGTTTTAGTGTTTACACTTAAGATAGATGTCTTGTTTTAATGTTTAAAAGTTTTCACTAGAAAAAGATGTTTTGTTCTAATGTATATGTTTACACTAGAAAAAGATGTCTTGTTCTGTGTATATGTGTACACTAGTAAAAGTAAAAAAGATGTCTTGTTCTAGTGTATATGTTTATGCTACAAAAGATTTCTTGTTTTAGGGTATATGTTGACACTAGAAAAGTGTTGTTCTAGTGTATATGTTTACACTAGAAAAAAGATGTCTTTTTTGTACACTAGAAAAAGATGTCTTTTTTTGTGTACAATGTATATGTTTACACTAGAAAAAGATGTCTTGTTGGGATGTTTACACTAAAAAAAGATGTCTTGTTGGGATGTTTACACTAGAAAAAGATGTCTTGTTGGGATGTTTACACTAGAAAAAGATGTCTTGTTGTCATGTTTACACTAGAAAAAGATGTCTTGTTGTCATGTTTACTCTAGAAAAAGATGCCTTGTTGGGATGTTTTCACTAGAAAAAGATGTCTTGTTGTCATGTTTACACTAGAAAAAGATGTCTTGTTGTCATGTTTACACTAGAAAAAGATGTCTTGTTGTCATGTTTACACTAGAAAAAGTGGTCTTGTTGTCATGTTAACTCTAGAAAAAGATGCCTTGTTGGGATGTTTTCACTAGAGAAAGGTGTCTTGTTGTAATGTTTACACTAGAGAAAGATGTCTTATTGTAAAGTTTACACTAGAAAAAGATGTCTTATTGTAAAGTTTACACTAGAAAAAGATGTCTTGTTGTAATGTTTACACTAGAGAAAGATGTCTTATTGTAATGTTTACACTAGAGAAAGATGTGTTTACACTAGAGAAAGATGTCTTATTGTAATGTTTACACTAGAGAAAGGTGTCTTGTTGTAATGTTTACACTAGAGAAAGATGTCTTATTGTAAAGTTTACACTAGAGAAAGGTGTCTTGTTGTAATGTTTACACTAGAGAAAGATGTCTTGTTGTAATGTTTACACTAGAGAAAGGTGTCTTGTTGTAATGTTTACACTAGAGAAAGATGTCTTGTTGTAATGTTTACATGTTTACACATGTTTGCTTTAGGTTTTTTTTACATATTTTACATAGAAAACAAATTTCTTGCCGCTACATTCCACATCAAATAAACATCCACAATTCCAGCACATGTTTATACATGTTATACATGTATTGCTTTGTTAATTTTATTTGCATATTATTGTACTTTTTTTTTACTTATTTGTAATAGTTTTTTGGGGTTGATGTAAATAGAATCTGTACTTTTTTTAAGTGTTTTTATCGTAATTATGTTTGATTGTTTTAATACCGAGCTATGATTTCAAGTTTATGTTTTTATATATGCATTGTTATTATCATACTGTTATCATACTGTTATCATCATAATTTTTCTGATTATCATTCTGTCATAATAACCATGACAACCATATTATAAACTTTAGTTCTCTTCCATGTTTATGTACACATGTTTTTTTTACCTATATACTTATATGTACTTAGATAATAGCCCCAAATTCATGTATATATTTTCTGTTCTTAAAAGAAAGTATTGGAAAATAAATGCAAGTATTGAGCAGAGATTAGATATTGTTGTTTAGAAAATAAAGCAGCATGCCTCCAGATTTTTGCTAATTTTCATGAAAATTTTTAAAAAGTTGTGAAGTGAACAATTAAAATGGTTTACAGCACTTACAATCTATGTTATTTACCAAAAATGAGGTCAAAATATAAAAAAAAGCCCTAACTGCATTTGTAACACAGTAGAAATATCGTGAAAAATACTGCTAAATCGGTCATAAATGGCACATAACATGGAAATTATTACTTTTATCTTTGTATCTTTTTACCTTTCTTAAAACCTCAGTACATTTTTCAGAAGTTTGTTTTTCTTGAAATATTTTATCTCATCTGGAGGCTTGCAGCTTTAAAATCTGCTGGATAGAATTTGTTTACGGCAACATGCTTCCAGATTCATGCTAATTTTTATGAAAATTTTGAAAATGTATTCAAAAGTAAAAGTGAACAAAGTTTGTAAATGACACTTACAGTCTGCAGAAGTTCAGAACCTTGAAATTTCAGTCTTTTTCTCCAGATATTGTTACAACGAAGATTTTAGTTATAAACAAATGCCTAATGGCCTATATACCCCCTGCAGTTTTATAAATTGGTAAATACTCTTCAACGTGAAGGATATAGATAGATAGTTTTATTCTGGTAAAAATATATGTCATAAATTCAATATCAACATCAAGAAACACATGTGAACATGAAAGTGCATGTGTTTATGCCATATATGCAATACAAAGGATGATGCAAAAAGAAGGTATAAAGTCCACTTATTTCCATTGTGGTCCTTAGAATTGATGATATGATTTGGTATGAGTATAATGATTTCTTCCATGGTAAAAACTGAAACAAAGTGTTCTAATAAAGTTACAAATATCTAGTTTATAATAGGAAAATGTGAACATAACAATTGAAACACAGATTCATTTATTCTGACATTTTCCGAGAAGTCTAGGTTTATTATGATATTCTCATATATAAGGTAGTCAAGACATTATACGGTTAAGTGTAGTGACATTATATGGTAAAGGACGTTATATGGTAAAGTGACATTATATGGTAAAGTGACATTAAATGACAAAATGACATTATATGGTTAAACAACATTATATGGTAAAGTGTCTTTATATGGTAAAGTGACATTATATGGTAACGTGACATTAAATGACAAAATGACATTATATGGTTAAACAACATTATATGGTAAAGTGTCTTTATATGGTAAAGTGACATTATATGGTAAAGTGACATTATATGGTAAAGTGACATTATATGGTAAAGTGACATTATATGGTAAAGTGACATTATATGGTAAAGTGACATATTTTATGGTAAAGTGACAT